GAGGCGCCGCCGTCGCCTGCTGGCACAGGGGGGACATTGGGGGACGTTGGGGGACGTTGGGGGATGGGGGGTGTCCCTATAGCAGCAAGGGGGACATTAGGGCACCCACGGACATGGGGGGGGACACCCCTGTCCCTGTGGGAACGAGGGGACATTAGGGACCACGGGGACACATGGGGGGGACATCCATGTCCCCACAGGAACGAGGGGACATTAGGGACCACCAGGGACCACAGGGACACCCGGGGGGGACACCCCCATCCCCATGGGAATGAGGGGACATTAGGGCCCACAGGGACAGATGGGGGAGACACCCCCATCCCCGTGGGAACGAGGGGACATTAGGCACCACGTGGACACCCGGGGGGGACACCCCCATCCCCATGGGAACGAGGGGACATTAGGGCCCACAGGGACAGATGGGGGGGACACCCCCATCCCCGTGGGAACGAGGGGACATACGGCACCACGGGGACACCTGGGGGGGGACACCCCCATCCCCACGGGAACGAGGGGACATTAGGCACCACAGGAACACCCGGGGGGGACACCCCCATCCCCATGGGAACGAGGGGACATACGGGACCACGGGGACACCCGGGGGGGACACCCCCATCCCCATGGGAACGAGGGGACATTAGGCACCACGGGGACACCCGGGGGGGACACCCCCATCCCCGTGGGAATGAGGGGACATTAGGCACCACGGGGACAGATGGGGGGGACACCCCCATCCCCATGGGAACGAGGGGACATTAGGCACCACAGGGACAGATGGGGGGGACACCCCCATCCCCACGGGAACGAGGGGACATTAGGGCCCACAGGGACAGATGGGGGGGACACCCCCATCCCCACGGGAACGAGGGGACATACGGCACCACGGGGACACCCGGGCCCCGCGGGGCGGCACCTGCGGCGCCCACGGCCACGGCGCAGGCCACGAGCGAGTAGCTGGTGTTGAGCAGCACCACGTGGTCCTTCTTGAGCTGGAAGGCGGGCTGGAAGGTGGGGAAGGGGTACACCACCTGGTACTTGGTGTGCAGCACGAAGCCGTGGCGCACGCACTGCGCCCGCGCCGCGCCTGCGGGACACGCGGGGGCACGTCAGCGCGCGGACACGCGGGAGGACACGGGGAAACACGGGAGCGCGCGCCCGGACACGCCACCACACGCAGGAGCAGCAGGGACGTGCCAGGACACGCGGGAGCACGCGGGGACACACATAGGGACACGCGAACACACGTGTCAGTGCGCATGGGCACACGTGGGGACACACATCGGCATGTGGTGACATGCATGGGGACATGAGCAGACAGCCCAGCCCACGTAGGGACACGCGTGAGGACACACGGACACAGCCCGGTCCCGTGGGGACACACAGGGGACACACGGATCGTGTCCCCGTCCCTGTCCCGTGTGCAGCCGGTGTCCCCACATCACACACACGTGAAGGGGACACACGGATCATGTCCCTGTCCCTGTCCCGTGTGCAGCCGGTGTCCCCACATCACACACACGTGAAGGGGACACACGGATCATGTCCCTGTCCCTGTCCCGTGTGCAGCCGGTGTCCCCACATCACACACACGTGAAGGGGACACACGGATCGTGTCCCCATCCCCGTCCCGCATGCAGCCGGTGTCCCCACATCACACACATGTGAAGGGGACACACGGATCGTGTCCCCGTCCCTGTCCCGTGTGCAGCCGGTGTCCCCACATCACACACATGTGAAGGGGACACACGGATCGTGTCCCCATCCCCGTCCCGYRTGCAGCCGGTGTCCCCACATCACACACATGTGAAGGGGACACACGGATCGTGTCCCCRTCCCYGTCCCGYRTGCAGCCGGTGTCCCCACATCACACACATGTGAAGGGGACACACGGATCGTGTCCCCRTCCCYGTCCCGTGTGCAGCCGGTGTCCCCACATCACACACATGTGAAGGGGACACACGGATCGTGTCCCCATCCCCGTCCCGCATGCAGCCGGTGTCCCCACATCACACACATGTGAAGGGGACACACGGATCGTGTCCCCGTCCCTGTCCCGTGTGCAGCCGGTGTCCCCACATCACACACACGTGAAGGGGACACACGGATCATGTCCCTGTCCCTGTCCCGTGTGCAGCCGGTGTCCCCACATCACACACATGGGAAGGGGACACACAGATCATGTCCCCATCCCCGTCCCGCATGCAGCCGGTGTCCCCACATCACACACATGGGAAGGCGACACACAGATCGTGTCCCCGTCCCCGTCCCGTGTGCCGCTGACACCCCCACATCACACACGTGTGAAGGGGACACACGGATCGTGTCCCCGTCCCCGTCCCGCATGCAGCCGGTGTCCCCACATCACACACATGTGAAGGGGACACACGGATCGTGTCCCCGTCCCGCGTGCAGCCGGTGTCCCCACATCACACACACGTGAAGGGGACACCCGGATCGTGTCCCCGTCCCCGTCCCGCATGCAGCCGGTGTCCCCACATCACACACATGTGAAGGGGACACACGGATCGTGTCCCCGTCCCCGTCCCGCGTGCCGCTGACACCCCCACATCGCACACATGCCAAGGGGACACCCGGCTCGTGTCCCCGTGCCCGCGGCGCTCACCGGCGGCGCGGCATGCGGCGCAGGGCGCGCCGGGCGGGCTGGCCACGACGCTCACGTAGATGTCGCGGTGGTTCTCGTCGCTCAGCAGCAGCATGTTGAGCAGCGGGACGCTGGCCGAGCGCGTGCTGGGGACGGGACGGGCACGGGGACGCGGTGGCGGCGCCGCAGGGACAGCGCGGCCGCGGCGCCGGCGCCGCTCGGTGCCCGCGTGCCCGTCCCCTCCGTGCCCCGCTCACTTGAAGCCGAACACGATGACCTTGGAGGAGTCGCCCGGCCACTCGCACACCGTCAGGTACAGGTCGCTGTAGATCTCCTCGTCCTGGAACAGGCGCACCTGGCGCACCTGCGGAGCGGGCACGGCTGCGGCAACAGGCGGCGCGCACGCGGCCGGGTGACGGCGCGGCGCGGGCCGGCACCCACCAGGCGCAGCCGGCTGTGCACGTTGAACTCCCACCAGTACAGGTGGTACATGTAGAAGGAGAAGACGTCGTCGCCGCCGCTGCTCGTGTAGGACAGCACGTAGCGGCCGCACTTGGAGAAGCCCAGGAAGATGTGCCTGGAGCGGGAGCGAGAGCTGGGGGGGCCGGCGGGAGGGAGGGGCGCCCGCGTTCCCAGAGATCCCGCTGGTCTGGGTGTGGGGGCTCCAGCATTCCCAAAGTACCCACTGTTCTGGATGGAGGAGCTCAGGCATTCCCAAAGAACCCACTGTTCTGGATGGAGGGGCTCAGGCATTCCCAGAGATCCCACTGTTCTGGATGGAGGGGCTCAGGCATTCCCAGAGATCCCACTGTTCTGGATGGAGGGGCTCAGGCATTCCCAAAGAACCCACTGTTCCGGATGGAGGGGCTCAGGCATTCCCAGAGATCCCGCTGTTCTGGATGAGGGGAGTCTGGCATTGCCAGAGATCCTGCTGTTCTGGTTGGGGGGGCTCCAGCATTCCCAGAGATCCCGCTGTTCTGGATAGAGGGGCTCTGGCATTCCTGGAAACCCCAATGTTCCAGTAGAAGAGGGGGGCTCCAGTGTTCCCAGAGATCCCACTGTTCCTGGAGGAGCTTCTAACATTCCCAGAGATCCTGGTGTTCCAAGGGGGTGGTTCCAGCATCCCCATACACACCGGGTGCTCCGGGAAGGCTCCAGCATTCCCAGGGAACACCGGCACCCTGCGGGGAGGCTCCTGCATTCCCGGACATGCCGGGTGCTCCCGGGGGTC